AAGCAAACTATAAAAACTATTTGCTGTAAAAAAAATGTAGCATTTTAAAATTCTGTTATTTTCTATATCCTTAGCTTTTAATCACTACCTTTAATTGTTTAGTTCTTTAATAATAGGTCCCATTTTTTAAATGAATCTTAATTGCCTAAGTAATAGTGAAAGTTTAATTTATTGGCAGACTTCCTTATTGTTAGCCTAACTATAAATAGTTAGAAAATGCTTCTTAATCAGCCTGCTTCATCTGATGCAGTAATTGCCCAGTGTGAAATAATGCTCTGGAACTACTAGCAATATTTACTTAAATTTTTTTTTTTCAAAACATTGAGTGGTTCTCATGTTTCATAGCTTGTTTAGAACCCATTTCCTCAAGTGATCATTTTACAATTCTGTATACTAACTTCTTAGTTGGTCAGGCAGTAAGTTGTGCGTTAGCATCTTTGCATTAATCAGTAGCTAAGATTTAAATCTGAGGCGTCACTAATACAAACCAAAATACATAATATGTTTCCATTAGAAATATCACAGCTTTTATAGCTGTATTAAGTGCAGGAATTTGAAAACATTAGTTTTCTTGAAATATTTTCATATCTACTCATTTTAAATACATTCTGTATGTATGTATGAATCACAGAGCTAGCATAGCTTTAAAGAGAGAAATTTTCCGTGAAAAAGTTTTTATTGCTCAACTGCTCTTTGTTAAAAATAACTTTGATATAGAAAGTGTGAAGAAGATGACATTTAATTTCTACGCAGTTGCAGATTACAGAATCTTAACCTACTTTCCCTTCTTTTAAGCATTGTTCCTTAAATCAGCAGCTCCTGGCTGGCTTAAAATAATAGCCATAATAGCAAAAGCCAACACCTCTTTGTTTTTTTTACACCGACACACACATAAACACACACACAAACACAAAGATGTGTGGAGCAAATGAAAAGATTACAGTCTGGCAGTTTCTCACAAAATAAACAGAGTTGCCACTTTACCTAGCTATTTCAGTCCTAGCTATATACACAAGAAAAATGTATGTGACACAAAAACATGTACACGAATGTTTATAGCAGCATCTTTCGTAATAGTCAAAAAGTGGGAGTAACCCACATGCCCATAGTAAGAGGCAATAATATTTCAAATGTGTGTCCATATAGGGGAATATTATTTAGCCATTATGAAGGAATGAAATCCTGATAAATGTCCAGGACCAGCCAGCTTCACAGGTGAATTTTAACAAACATTTAAAGGAGAATTAACACTTATCCTTCTCAAACTATCCCCAATAATGGAAGAAGGAATGCTTGCAAACTCATTCTACAAGACCAGCCTCACCCTAATACCAAAACCAGCCAAAAGCACTAGAAAAAGAAGAAAATTACAGGTCAGTATCACTGATGAACATAGATCCAAAAATCCTCGATGAAATATTAGCAAGCCAAATTTAGCAATATGTTAAATGGATCATACACCATGATCAGATGTAATTTATCTCAGAAGTGCAAGAATGATTCAGTATCCATGCTTCAATCAGTGTGATATACCACATTAACAAATTGAAGGATAAAATTATATGATCATCTCAACTCAACAGGTGCAAAAAAAGCTATTCACAAAATTCAACATTCAAGTATGATAAAAAAAAAAAACTCTCAACAAAGTAGGTACAGAAAGAATGTACCTCACCTTGATAAAGGCCATTTATAACAATCTCACAGCTAGTATCATACTCAAGGTGAAAGTCTGACAGATTTTCCTCTAAGATCAGGAACAGGACAAGATTACCCACTCTTACCACTTTTATTCAACATAGGATTGTAAGGCTTAGCCCAGCAGTTAGATAAGAAAAAGAATCCAAATTGGAAAGAAGTAAAACTTTCACTCTTTGTGTATGATATGATACTATATATAGAAAATCCTAAAGATGCTCCCAGGAAACTACTAAAACTAATAAATAAATTCAATGAAATTGTAAGTTGTAAAATTCACTTTCATAAATCTGTTGCATGTCTATACATTCACAGTGAACTATCAGAAAGGGAAATTATAAAGCTACCCCATTTACAATTGCATCAAAAAGAATAGAATGCCCAGAAAGAAATCTAACCAAGGAGGTAATAAAAACCTGTACTTAGAAAACTACAAGATACTGATGATAGAAATTGAACACTGCACAAACAAATGGAAAGATAAAACATGCTCATGGATTGGAAGAATCAATATTTTTAAATGACCAGACTTCCCAAAGCAGTTTATGAATCAGTGCAATCCCTATCAAAATACCAATGGCATTTTTCACAGAACTAGAAGAAATAATTCTAAAATCTGTGTGGAAACACAGAAGACAAAATAACCAAAACAGTCTTAACCAAAACAGCTTAAGAAGAACATAGCTGCAGTTATCATGCTCCTTGATTTTATGCTATACTACAGAGCTGCAGTAATCAAAACAATATGATGTTGGCATGAAACCAGACACAGAGATCAATAGATCTTGGTAGAGAATAAGTCCAGAAATGAACCCACAAGTATATGGCCAATTGATCTATAACAAAGGAAATAATATACAGGGAAAAGATAGTCTCTTTAGTATATGATATTGGAAAAACTGGACAGCTACTTGCAAAAGAATCAACTGGACTACTTTTTCACACAATTTACAGAAATAAACTCAAAATGAATAAGACTTACATGTAAGATTTGAAACCATAAAACTCCTTGAAGAAAACATAGGCAGCACACTCATTGGTCTGAGCAATATTTTTTGGATTTATCTCCTCACGCAAGAAAATAAAAGCAAAAGTAAAGTAATGGGACTACACTAAAAAGCTTTGCACAGCGAGGGAAGCTATCCACAAAATGAAAAGGCTTCCTATCAAATGGAAAAAGGTATTTGTCAACAGTATATCCAATAAGGTACTTAATATCCAAAATATACAAAGAACTCAGTATCAGAAACAAATAACCTGATTTAAAAATGGCAGAGGGCTTGAGTAGATGTTTTTCCAAAGAAGACATATAGATGAGCAACAGACACCTGAAAAGATGCTGAAAATCACCATTAATCAGGGAAATGCAAACCAAAACCACAATGAGATATCACCTCACATCCGTCAGAAAGACTATTATCAAAAAGCAACAAATGACAGTGCTCGGGAGGGTGTGGAGAAAAGGGAAGGTTCACGCACTGCCGTTGGTGCAGCCACTACGGAACACAGCATGAAACTTTCTCAAAAAATTAAAAGTACAACTATCACTTCACCTATTCCACTTCTAAGTATTTTTCCAAAGAAAAACACTAACTTGACAAAATATATGGGGCTTCCCTGGTAACTCAGAGGTTAAAGTGTCTGCCTACAATGCGGGAGACCCGGGTTCGATCCCTGGGTCGGGAAGATCCCCTGGAGAAGGAAATGGTAACCCACTCCAGTATTCTTGCCTAGAGAATCCCATGGACGAAGGAGCCTGGTAGGCTCGACAAAATATATGCACCCCTTTGTTCATTGGAGCACTATTTACAATAATCAAGATATGGAAGGGCCCTAAATGTCCATTGACAGATAAATGGATAAAGAAGATGTAGTATATATACATGTTGGAGTACTACTCAGCCATAAGAAAAGAATGAAACCTTACCATTTGCAACTATATAGATGGATATAGAGGGTTTTATGCTAAGAGAAATAAAAGTGCAAAAAAGAAACTATGATTTCACTTAAATGCAGAGCCTATAAAACAGAAGACCACACATAATAAGCCAGAAGACTCACAGAGAACCAATAGGTGATTACCAGAGGGGAGGTGGTGGTGGGATGAAAATAAAAGGGCCTGCTTCCTCGTTTTGGTGCACGGGCTTCTCATCGTGGTGGCTTCTCTTGTTGCAGAGTGCGGGCTCCAGGGCACGGGCTTCGTTCATCGTGGCACATGGGCTCCTTAGTCCTAGTGCATGGCTTTGTTGCTCTGCAGCATGTGGGATATTCGTGAATCAGGGATCAACCTGTGTTTCCCGCATTGACAGGCAGATTCTTTATCACTGAGCTACCAGGGAAGCCCTACTTCTTCCTAAAAAAACTCCCTTGGTCAGTGCACCATATTGTCCTGTGACCCTCCTTGCCTCTGTGGTCAATGCTTTCTAGTCTCCTCCTCTTCCCCCGCCTGACTCTTGAATGTTGGTGTTTTCTCCTAAGCCCTTCACACATTTTCTTTAGTATTTAAGACTCCTAAGTGAATATTTGTTGAAAGAATGTGTCTATATATTGATGGTTTCTCAAGAGAATTGACTATAACTGAACCTCATTAACTGAAAACATTTCAGTATGTTACGACATGCACATCACAGCCACACTTTTGTGCTGTCTCTCTGGGCCATGATTCTCTTAAGCTATCCTACTACATGCTTGTAGTGAAAAAAATACAAGTCCATTATTCAGCCTTTTTGTCTGTGAGGTTTAGTTAGCTTTTTTAAAGTTCTCTGTATATAGATGGTAATTTTGAAAAGCATGCATTACCCTACATTCTTATACCAGGTTAACTGTTTAATATTAAATTTTATAGCATTGATGTCCGTCCTCAATAAAACAGTAATGTTTACTTGAAGTAGCAATTTAATTTAAATACACTCTGCAATATATATTCTGAAGTTTAGGATTAGAAGGGGGGAGAAAATTAATATTTAATGAAATTGTTTTATGCCAGGCTCTGGCCTGTGTGTTCACCTACATCATATATTTTCATCTTCCAACACTCTAGAAGATAAGTATTCTTAGTCATCTCGTAGAGAAAACAAAATTGAGGTTAAGGTAAGTTAAAATAGATTCTATACTGCAGGATATACAGCTACTGAAACTTGGAACCAGACTTCTCTCAAACTTTATAGCCTATAGATACCTTATAAATGATGCAGAAAATATAAACTAGGGCTGAATGCTAAATACAGAAATAAATTGTGTAAGTACTTGAGTTTACTAAGTCCAAGTTGTGCTAAAAGTTGTCTGTGTCGTTTTGTCCCTAGGCAATTATTTGGCAGAAAACTAGAGTATCAGATCATAAAATGGCTCTCATGTCTGTTCTGGGGACTGCTGTTATGGGCAATATGGAATCCTTTCAGTACCACTGTGAAGAATCTCAGGTATACAACAAAGATGTTCTTTAATTTACCACTGAAGCTGTTTAATTATTTCCTTTTTGTTGGGTTGAGGTAGCAAGAAATGTCTCTTTAGAAATTTTAATGACAAAGGATGTATAAGCTCATATTAAATCTCTTTTCCCTGCCCTACTTCCTGTTTTTATCTCTTCTGTTTATTGTTTTTAATTTTAAGTATCATGGTTACATTAATTGTTTAAGTGATTTTCAATTTAGAATCTTCATCTCTTTGCTTTCCTCAATGAAAGGAGTTGAGCCCTCTTACCTTTGTTTTCCCTTTCCTACCTTGTATTCCAACTTTATTTTCTTTATCTGTCAGCTCTGGAGAGTCTTCTTGAGGCCCTGTAATACTGGATGAGGTTATTAACACTCCCAGTCTTTCTTGTTCTTCTCTTCAGTCATGCCAGCCCCACTTCTGTGTTATCTAGCTTCATAACCTGTTTCTTATGTAACCATCTTTCATTTGAAGATTCATTTTAAAAGTTGAAAACTTATATGAAGTATACATTATTATGACTTCTTTTCTTTTCTATAATTTGTTGCAGTCTCTAGGCTACTAGTTCCCCTCCTATTCTCTTTTACAATATTGAGTTCTTAATAATTATCATTTTATTAGTGTCTTAGATGGAGCTTATGCTCAATTAATGTATTAAGAATTCTCTCTGCCTAAGGAAAGTAGCCATGATCTAACTTGGGTTCTGTTTTTCAGAGCACCCTTAATAGTTGTTTAATAGTTTAGACACTAGTGCCACTTTGGACTGGTCCTCTTGGCTGACTTGGGACAGTAAGGGTACTGTCTAAATTTTGCTGGGCTCTCTGTGGTTCCCTAGGACTTTGTTGCCCATGCTGGTAACCCAGGAAGCTGTGACAGGAGATTCAGATGTGCTGTGTTGTGCTTTAGAGAGTCTACCTGTCACAGTTTAGTCTGAAGACTAGCAGCATCAGCATTGCTTGGAAACTTGTTAGTTTGACAGATTGAGTAGGGGACAGAGGTCTTTACTTTGGTAAAGGAGTACAAGAGACAGCAGCATGGAAGTGAGCTGGGATATTTTATCAAGTTTTGAATGTGGTAAGGTTAAGAAAATTTGTGTGAGCATTTGGAGAGGAAAGAAATAAAGGCTGTACATCTGTATCTTAGCATCACTGGTGTATGTTGTATAGATGGGAATGAAATTACCCAGATGGAATAGAGAGCAAGAAAAAGGGGTCTGATGATGAGACTGAGGGAGACTATCACCCTTATAGGCTGTAAGCAAAGGGAGAGGAAGTCCCACTAAAGAGGAAGTTTCAGAGAGGAAGCGGAAAATCCAAAAGAGAAGGCTGAAACGGTGTCATGCTTCCAAAGGAGAGAGTTCCCATTGGTGTCAGGGTCTGCAGAGTCAAGTAGTTCTACTAAGTGTCTGTTGGAGTTGGTCATTGAGGTAGAAGCTAGAGCATAGAAGGCTGGAGATGAAGGGAGTGAGAGAAGGGTTCATAGTTGAAGAACAATCAGGGGAGTATTATTTGTTTATATTTTGCCTTTGATTTTTGTTTTGCTTTTTACTTGAGTAATACTTGGGTATAGAATCTTATAAGGCCTATCTAATTTTTTATTTTGTTGCACTGATTTGGTCTGTTACAGAGATTTTTCTCCCCACAAGCTAGCCTGATTTTCACTTTTTGTAATATTTTATAAGACTTTGCCATTTGATTTTAGTTTTCCATATAACTTACTGTGTGTTAATTCTTAAGGTTATCTATCTTAAGCCATTTTTAAAGCTCAGTATTTGGAAGTAATACTGTTTATTCAGTGGCCAACAAGATGGTGTGAAGAAAAAACACTAGCAATATTACTGATGTTTTCTTAATTTTAATCCTTATTCTTACCTATTCTGGTTTTTTTTTGTTCTCCCATCAACAAGCCCACTAAGTCTTTCAGAGACTGAACAGCCTTCCCTGATGCTCAGCAGGTGCTTTAAGAAGGCTCTCATATTACTTGGTAAATTATGCAACCATTTATAAGGGTTGTGAAGTTTTATAGTTAATTAATTAAGTAGTTTCATTTTGTAATGGATTATCTAGCTCTATGTATTAACTTTTTTTTAATTGGCACAGTCTGGCACTGTGACAATAACGCACTTAGTGTTCTAAAGTTGGTAATGCATCCATCTCCTTAAACACTTATTTCCAAGGACAGGGGTAGCCACAGACATAGGTGGCAGCCTACAGCCTGTGTGGGTAAGGAGCCTCATGGCTTCTGCTTAACTAAAAATAGCAAAGCCCCTGACACTCTTGCTTTTTTAAACCTAAGCAGAAAATTTCTCATTATTACTGTTTCTTAACAGGTTAATAAAACATCTGATTCAATTGTTTCAGATAAGAGATGATTATAGGCCTGCATTTTGAATAATTTGACCAAGATCATACTAGTAGTGCAGCCGGAGTTTAATCAATGTCAATCTGGCTCTATCCTGTATTCCTAACAGTTCTATTATCTCGAAAAGTAGGAGCATTTTCCTTGCTTTCTGTTCCCTACATCTCTCTCCCTTCTCACTGGTATTTTTTCTAGGATCCTTCTTTATTTCACCCGTCCTTTTCATACATTTGTGAAATAGTTCTCTAAACAAAAATGAAGATAATGTACAACATTGTGATGTGTCAAAGAGTAAGAGATCTTTTTTCCCCTCAGTAATGAAAACCTAGTCAGATTGACTTCCTGGCATACTCAAAATAAAGATAGAAACAGCTACTTCTTTACAGAAAATGGTGGCTGAAAAGAAAAGGATAAACAGCCAGAGGAAAGTTACAATGTAAGGGAAGAAATTTTTTTGAAAATAGTAGGAGATAGGGTTGATCAGAGAGCAGCAGTATTTATACTGTATGTCCTGTGACAATAAGATGTGTAGTCATGGAACTTTAATGAATGCCAATTTTCCCTTAAAATTGAAAGAAGGGATAGTTAGAGGCTGAGAACACCAATTTAACATGCTTCAGTAATTTAAGTTTAATGCTCATGACATTGTTATCAAGTAGTATATGGCTCTTTAGACCTTAAAATGAAAATCCACTTGTTAATTTTGGTTATACCTTTAAATGTGTATACCAGATCCATGGAATCATGTTTACTGTTGACATTGCATATAAGTTCTATAATTATTTATTACAATTATAGATTTTCCTAAGTGGATTTCTTCCAAAGCATGATGCAGACCACTCTTGCACAAGTCTTTCAACCCCAGAAAGGAGTTTCATCTTTATAAACAGTCGACCAGTACACCAAAAAGATATATTAAAGGTAATCTTTTTAAGAAAAAAGTAATTTGTCAGCTTCTTATAAGGGCTACTTGTAAGAATTTGTTCTAAAATAAGGAAAAGAAAAAATAGATATAATATGGGGCTTCCCTAGTGGCTCAGATGATTAAGAATCTGCCTGCAATGTAGGAGACCTGGGTTCAGTCCCTGGGTTAGGAAGATCCCCTGTAGTAGGGAATGGTTACCCACTCCAGTATTCTTGCCTGCAGAATCCCAAGGATAGAGGAGCCTGGCAGGCTACAAAGAGTCAGACAAAACTGAACAACTAACACTTCACTTTCACTTTTCACCTTACATATGACTCTTCACAACAATTCTGTGGTGAATTATCATCCTTATTTATAGTGAAGAAGGTCTTCTCTTGTGGCTCAGCTGGTAAAGAATCCTCCTGCAGTGCGGGAGACCTGGGTGTGATCCCTGGGTTGGGAAGGTCTCCGGGAGAAGGGAAAGGCCACCCACTCCAGTATTCTGGCCTAGAGAATTCCATGGACTGTATAGTCCTAGGGGTTGCAAAGAGTCAGACATGACTGAGCGACTTTCACTTTCACTTTCATAGTGAAGAAACTGAATTGTTAGTAAGACTACCTTAGACCACAAAGCCAGGAAGTAACAGAATTTGAATTTGAACCCAGGACTTTGAAAACATCCACAACACTGTGATCTTTTCCATGAAGTCAGTTGCATTGGATGCATGCTTGCACTTCATGTTAAGTAAATTCAAAGCCTCTAAATGAGCATTACTATTTAAATACTACTTTTCCTAATAAACAGTTACATCCACTCAGTTTCTCAGTTGAATATGCGTCTTCTGGTGGTATTTTAAGGATAATATTACTTAAATCATGCTATCTTTATTTATAAATACTTTAAAGAATAATAATACTTTAGTATATTTCTGTCATTTTTTGTCTTCATTACATGTATTTCTAGCTAATCCGACATTATTACAATCTGAAATGTCTAAAGGAATCTACTCGTTTGTATCCCATTTTCTTTCTGAAAATTGACGTTCCAACAGCTGATGTAGATGTGAATTTAACGCCTGATAAAAGTCAAGTATTGTTACAGAATAAGGTAACCTTTTCCAGATAATTTTTTGTATTAAATTATTTATAAACTTATGCAGTGCTAGCCATTTTCATGTGAAAAAGATTTACTTTTCTGTATAGATTTTTTAATATTATTTCCATAATTTCCCCTAATACTTGTTAATTTGTATTTTTAGGAATCTGTTTTAACCGCTCTTGAAAATCTGATGATGACTCGTTATGGATCACTACCTAGTACAAATTCTTATGAAAGTAATAAAGCAGATGTTTCCTCAGCTGACATGGTTGTTAGTAAAACAACAGAAACAGATGTGCTTCTTACTGAGATGGAAACATCTGGAAATAATTATCCAAATGTTGATACTTCAGCCATTCCTTTCCAAAATGATGTGCGTAATGATAAATTTGGGGAAAACACTAATTATTGTTTAAATCATCAGGTACATATTGGTGACCATTATGATGATCATCTTAATAGTGAAAATTCTAGCATTGATAAGAATGATGGAAATACATTTAAAGAAATCCCAAAGAATAATTCATCATGTGAGGACACCCAAGTGGAGTATAGTCAAACTTGGTCTGTGGATTCTGTTGAGCAAGCCCAATCAGCAAATGGCAGTGAAGGCCATAGAGATGAGAGTGGGAAAAAGGAAGAAGCAGCAGTTCCTGAGAAGTCTGTGGAAATTTGTGTAGATGACTGGAGTAAGGGAAATATGCTTAATTCTAGAGGAGAAAACATTGAACCTGTGAAAATTTTAGTGCCTCAAAAAAGTTTAGTGAGTAATGTAAGTAGTAATAATAGTAATACAAGTCCTGAACAAAAGAATCTCTGTGAAAGTTCCTGTAACAAAAAATCAAATGTGGTAGATAACAAATCTGGACAGCTTACAGCTTATGATTTAATTAGCAATCGAGTAATCAAGAAGCCCATGTCAGCAAGCGCCCTTTTTGTTCAAGATTGTCGTGCCCAGATTCTCACAGACAATCCCAAGACCAGCTTGGAAGATGCAGCAGTGCAAAGTGAAGAACTGTGGAAGACATTGAGTGAAGAGGAAAAACTGAAGTAAGTTTCCAGAGCTCTCCTGTGACCTGAGTGCTAGGATGTTTCCATTCTATATGACTCACTGGGTTGAAAAAGCTTCTTTTTCTTCTTATTTATGGAAAAGCAGAATGGAAAATACCTTTTGGCTTGTCCTAGAGTACCTTTTTGGCATCACTTTTTTGGGGGTTAATTTAGAAATTTTTACGTTTTTGTTTTTTTTTTTTTTTTTCTTTTTGCTTGTTTTTTATTTTGGTGCAAAAAAGCNCAGAAATATATATATATATATATATATAAAAGACATATTTTAATATGTATCTATAAAAGATAGACATATTCTTTTAGTTAGTTTATTTAAGCTTTTATTTTGCATGAAGATATAGTTAGTGAACAGTGCTTTGATAGTTTCAGGTGAACCACAAAGCAGTCCAGCCATATATACAGATGTATCCCTTCTCTCCCAGACTCCCCTCCCATCCAGGCTGCCACATAACATTGAGTAGAGTTTCATGTGCTATACAGTAGGTCCTTGCTGGTTAAGATACTCTTATTTTAAGTAGAGCCGTAATACAATTGTCATCACTTTCTAAAACATAAATTTCTTAATCTTCAGTGTTCAAATTTGATTATTTCCTAAGTGTCAACTTTTAAAAGTTAAGTCAAGATGCCAATAAAAGTCACACATTATTATTATTATTATTAGTTTTACCTAAATGACACATTCAATTTAAAGATGAGAGCATTTAAGTTTTAATACAGCAAGCCCATGAAAATTAAATTGCATTGATTAGACAAAAAAAAGCATAGGTGTTCCCAGTTCTCATGGAAGTAGGTACAGTGCAGCAACTCAAGGTAGCTATTCCCTTTCAGCCTCAAAACAGTAGTTATTACCCTAGTTTCAGCATTGTTTCTCCTTGCAGACCCCAAGGTGTTAAGATTTAAGGGTTATGGTTAATAGACCTCATCTAAAAATGATCAGGCAGTATTCTGGAATTCAAAGTTTTCTCTTATTGCCATAAGGTAAACAGAAAAGCATTGTTGAAGACCTCTGAAGCTACACCTGGGTTCAAACCTCAGTTCCTCTCTTTTCTAGCATTATGTAAAATGGGTGCACAGTAACTTTGGGTTGTTGTGAGAATTAAATAAGATATATTATGTGTTATAAATGACTAGCATATAATAAATGTTCATGATGTTAGTCAGAGTTTTTAATCTGTGAAAGGAAATTCCTCTCTTGTGATTGACATTATTTTTCATTGGCTTATTCAAGATTAAATTTAATTTGGAGGTCAGAAATAGCAACCTTGTGGAGAAAATTTAGGTTTCTTGGGATCAGAGAGCTTAGTACATGTCACAGAAAGCTCTATTAGAATCTTCCAGAGCCAGAGTCTGACAATCATGGCAGACCAGGTTGAAAACCATGATTAGTGAAAAGGTAGAGCAGAAATGTTTAACACTCAGGAATTGCATTAACTACCATTTCTCTTCTCGTCTTTACCTTAGAATTCTTTTCCATGGTCTTAAGTTCTACAAGGAGTGCTAAGGAATCTGAGAGCAGTCTCCTACAGATAATCAGTCCTTCCGTCTATTCTTTTTCTTTTCTTTTTTCTCTTGTTTCCATTTTTTTTCCCCATCCTTTTTCCTCCCTTTTTTCTTTCTTCCTTCTCTTCCTTTCCTCTCCTGTCTTTTCTTTCCTTATTTCTTTCAATTAGGAAATACTTAGGCTTCCCTGGCTCAGACAGTAAAGCATCTGTCTACAATGCAGGAGACCCTGGTTCAATCCTTGGATTGGGAAAATCCCCTGGAGAAGGAAATGGCAACCCACTCCAGGTCTCTCGCCTGGAAAATCCCATGGATGGAGGAGTGTGGTAGGCTCCATGGGTTGCAGAGTCGGACTGAGCAACTTCACTTTCACTTTCAGGAAATACTGAGAACATTCTGTGTACAAGGCCCGTGTACTCTAGCTAATCATTTCAGATACAGTGATAAATGATAAATAAAACATACTTTCACTAATCAAAGTGCAATCTTAAAGAAGCAAGAGTTATGAAAACACTTAGCAGTTAGACGTAATCATACCTATAGGACAGGAGATATTTCCTGAATAGAAATTGATCAGGATGGTGTAGAGGATTTTCTGTGTAGAACAGCTCGAATGAAGACAGTGTTGAGGAATGGAAAGATGCCCTTTATGACAGGAATGTATTATGAGGGAGTGTGGTAAAGGGCTTCCCTGGTGGCCCAGCCAGTAAAGAATCCGTCTGCAATGCAGGAGACCTGGGTTCAATCCCTGGGTTGGGAAGATCCTCTGGAGAAGGGAATGGTTACCAAAAACAAAGATCCTGGGATCCAGTCAGGTCAGATCATGGAAGGTTTGAAGAGTTTTGAATAATACCTAGGATCAGGATTTTCTACCAACAGCTTAGGATAGACTTACACTAGAAGGTTCCTACATTTTAAATTTTTTCCTTTCTGGATTCCTCTCCCCACCCCACCCCACCTTGCTTTCCTCTCTTTTCCTCTAGTGGATTAGAAACCACTTTGTCCTCCTACTAGTATCTCAGTCAGTTGACTTGAACTTTTGTTTGTAGTAGCCATGAATATATTTCTACTTAGAATAACTAAGAATAATATTGTAATTGGGATAATATTGAAAATGGTAAATAAACTTTGCAATTACATGTAATCTTGAGACAGAGACACTTGAGTTGATTAGTGATAAATCAGAATTAGTATTTTTCATTTAAGTTATTACTAAATCCCTTAATGACATAAAGTCAAAGATAACAGCTGTTTTTACTTAATATTTACTTAATATTCCTTTGGACATAACTTTTTATATTTCCCAAGGGACTAATTAAATTGACTTCTTGAATAAATCAAAAGATTAGTATCATGTGTGAAAATTTGCACATTATAATTAATTACAAATGGTAACCTTCATTTTGAACTCACTCCACTGTAGGAGAAAAATTTGAATTTGAATCTCCAGGGGCTAAAAATACATATTTATAGTACTAATTGAAGGTAAACTATATTGAAAACTTTGTGCATTGTAACTTAGAATTTCAGATTCTAAGTGGAAATGGAAGAAAATAACATTAATAATTATGAACATGGCCTGCCTAGTCAGCAACTATAAGAAGCATTTTTCATTTACCTAGTTTATAGTGAAATAAAGTCTTTTTTCTTACATTCTTATCCAGCTAATATTTCTTTATTCAGCAAATACATACTGAGTACAAACTACACAGTGTGCATGTCTCTTGTGTCTTAGTCTCACTTTCTACATTTAATACCATTCTCCCAATAGTATTGTTTTTATTTTCTAATACATACCTATTCAAATTTCTTCTTTAAAACGTATGTATGTTACCTACAATAGAACTCAACCAGTTTCTTAAGAGTTTCTAAAGATCAGAATTACGTTCTCTAGTCTGCATTTAAAAATGCATGTAAAAACCTTTCTAGCAAGGTTGCTTAAATAATTACCAGTCTTTAATCAACTGTGTGCCCCATTCATTATAAGATAGGTGTTTCTTGATAGAAAATAATGATGCCATGTATTTATTATCATTTACTAGGTTCTAGGAACTATTCTAAGTACCTAAAACATCTTAACCCATTTTATTCCTCACATCAAAGCTATGAAGTATTTAAGATGTATATTATCTAGACATTACTGATGAGCCTACTGAAACACAGGAAAGTTAATTCATTGTGTTCAGCTGCTAAATGGCAAAGACAAGCCAGGCAGTCTGTCTCTGAGGTCTATGCTCTTAGCCAGTACAATTTGCTGAATACAAATAGCGGTTTTTAGTTCTAGATTTGTATTGGAATCAGCCATGGAGCTCTCTAAAAACACTACTGCCCAAACTCAGCCTGTGTATGGAGAATTGGAAACTCTGAGAGTGAGACCAGTAGAAAAGGGATAATATAACTATACAAGACTGTTTTTGGCCCTAGAAGTTCATTTTATCCCTGTTATTATTAATCAGAATAGAAAAGATCATTTAACTTTTTAACCCAGTATAATTTTAAAAGGTCCATTATCTTGGATCTTTGCGTTCAGTTTATTTGAACTTTTTTTTTTTAAATTGCTGACTCTAAAATGAGAAATAGTAACTGAAAAAATTAACATTTAGCTATAAAACTAAATTATAAATTCAATCATAGAATTTTTATTTCGAGCGTTACTATTAGACTGACCTTAATTTTATTAGTATATAATTACTAGGGCTTCCATAGTGGCTCAGTGGTAAAGAATCCTCCTGCACAATGCAGGAGAAGTGGCTTTGATTCCTGGGTCGGGAAGAGCCCCAGGAGAAGGAAATGGCAACCCACTCCACTATTCTTGCCTGGGAAATCCTATGTTCAGAGGAGCCTGGCGGACTAGTCCATGGGCTTACAAGAGTAGGACAGGACTTAGTGACTAAACAACAATATGATTACCAAATGTATGTAAATTTTGTTGTGCTCAGAGCATCGTTTCTTCTATGTTGATGTTACACCACATATTTAAGGAATTCTTCAGGTCTAAAATTGACTCCTTATTTTATTTAATTATTTCTTTTTTTTTTTTTTCCTTTTTAGTTTCCTGTACCTTAAATGATTTTTAAAACTGGGTAAAATTTAGCTGCTGTGAAGTGCATAGATCTGAATTGTATGTAGATAGTTCAGTGCGTTTTCACGTGCGCACACCGATGAAACCACCACCACAAACAAAATACAGAGCATCTTCAGCCCAGAAGGTTCATTAATGTCACCTATAAGCCAGTCATCACTTGCAGCCACTATTTTGATTTCTGTCACATTAGTTTCGTTTTGCCAGTACTTGAACTTCTTATATATAAAATCATAATGATATGTACTTCTTTGTGTCCAGCTTCCCCCCAACAAAATGTTTTTGAGGTTTTCATTCATGTTTGTTGAATGTATCCATATACTTTATTCTTTTTAATTGATGAATAGTACTCAGTTGTGTAAGTATACCACAATTTGTTTTCTCAGTCTCCAGCTGATTA